CCCCCCCCCCCCCCCCCACCCGTAGTTTGATAAGAGGACAGAAAGAAGGGCAGTAGTTGGCAGAAAAAGGTTCCTTTCGTTGAGACCTTTAATTAGAATACAACGACAGATAAAATTAAAAGGCATGCGTATGCAAAATCTTAGACCAATTGGTTGTAGTATGTAAAACTTATGCACGTTTTACTTTCAAAAAGAGCATCGAAAGAGCAGCGAAATTTGATGGCCGTTGGGCACACCTTCAAGGTATAGGCTACCTACTGCAAAAAATTCCAGGACTCTAGGATCATTCCCCTAGAAGTAGTTCGAAACGGCAGAAGTGGGTCCGGCCGGATGGACGGAGATAACACAAACAATAGCATGTTTTTTTATTCTTAAAAAATGCGCTAAAAAGACATTAGAAATTGGACGCGTGTTTGTCTGAATTGCCAGAGAGCAAAAATTATAAAGCACACCAAGTCACCCTTAGAAACACTACCAACTCCAGACGAACGATTCCAAGCGATCCACATAGACTTATTAGGTCCGCTACCACCTTCTGACGCCAAATTTTGTCTAACATGCATTGGCAGGTCAGCGGATGACCAGAGGCTTTTTCGATCTCTGACACGCAAACCCAAACAGTAGCAGAGACATTGCACACTGGATGGGTATCTCAATTTGGCACACCCCTGACAATTTTTCTAGATCAAGGCCGGCAATTCAAAATTGCACTTTTCCAAGCACTAACTTCCTGCATATATGGCGCAAAGTGACACAGAACCTCTGCGTACCATCCGCAGTGCAACGGAAAAATAGAAAGAGGGCACCGTACTCACGTGATAAGTTCACCGGAATTTTTAGGAGTATGGCATAAAAAATGTAAGAAAAATAAAAGGTGAAAAAGTAATGAGTGTCCGTCCGCCCGTCACACGTACTCCTTCTACACCACTGAACCGATTGGGCGATATGGGTTTCATTTGAAAGGGTTTTGGTTTTGCTCATGAGCAGTGTCAAAAATTTGAATTACGCATGTGCAATGCTAACTTTTCTATTTATAAAGATATTTACATGAAACTTTATATGTAAACACTACCAATATAAGTAAAATTAACGACGTTTTCAAAATGTTATTTTGCGCATGCGCAATGCCACTTTCCTTATTTATGAGAGCATTTAAATGAAATTTAATACATAGGCACTTGCAATACAAGCAAATTTAACACCAGTTTTAAAATTTGGTTTTGCGCATGCGCAATTGCAACTTTCTTATTTATGAAAGCAGTTGAATGAAATATCATATGTAGGCACTTTGAATGAAACTAAAACTAATACCGGTTTTAAAATTACTGTTTACGCATGCTGTATGTTTTATTTATGAAGGTATTCAATGAAATTTCCAATGCTATTTACGAAAGCATTTATAAAAAGTTCCATAATTATGTAGACACTTCGAATAAAAGTAAAACTTTACTAATGCCCATTTTAAAATTTGTTTGTATATGTACTATTTTTCATTAAACTGTATAGACTTCGACGATAGGCGGCTCATTTGAAAGAGAATGGGGTAAAGATCTCGTGTCTACCCAGGTGCCTACCTGTATTTTTTCCTGGTCCTAGCATTAATATTATTAGGAGGAAAATACGCTCTCATTTATGTTTGCCATAATGACTTTTTACACTTGTTTTCAATTATCTATACGAAACGATTTATTTTTTCAAAATATCGCATCGGAGTATCCATTAGCATCAAAAACTACACAACTTTGCCAATTTAACCGGATCTGTAAGTATAATACGAGTAATAACAAAGGTAGCCATGTTATCCTACTCAATTTAAGACACCCTGTATAAGCGCTACTTTTTTTCAAAATCGCGCAAAAAATGATCTGACTACCGTGCTCTACAGCAACTCGACAACGATCAATGAACGAACTATGCGAGGAACCGCGTAATGAGCTTTACCCTCTCTGATACATTAAATTTTCGGTAAATTAAGTTCACGCACATCTTCGAAAAGTAGGTAGGCATTTTAAACAAAATCTGTTTCAATGACCCTAGCAAACAGTTAAATTTGCAGTCTGCGCAAAGTAAGGACGTAAATAACGAAATTTACCAATAAATGTATTGTGATTGTCGTGCAACCCAAATTGGAAACTTTTCATACGGTGGCAACGAAACGATATTGTGATTGTGTTCTGACATTTGATTGATGAGATGTTCAACACATTGTGAAAAAGGTTGAAATGAAGTGTGATATTAGATTATTTATGTAACTTGTCTACACCGGATAAATCGATAACCAATTCAGACTTGTTGTAAGTTATTACGAAAAAATTAACCTTTACTCGAGGTGTAATTTCAACCTTACCTTACACGTTTGCTATCACATCACGCAATTTATTTTTGGAGATTTATCGTATTCTCGCCCCATTATATTAGAAAATTGATCGGGAACGACGAGAACATCCACATACCTACATAAAATAGAGAATTTACGGAGAATTTATGATATGGCACAAGCGTGATGTTGAAACGTTCCAACGTATTAAGATACAACAATAAGAAGTAAATAAGGTTTTGGTCAATACCAAATGTCCAACCGTACTTTTTACCGGCGGGCGTTCTGCAACTACCAGTATAAGTATTATATTTTTGCTTTTGACACCACCATTATCGACAAAGGTTTATCTTGAATTAGTCCCGTATATTTGCCTTTACTTTACATTTCCTAAATAATCGATAATTTGGGAAGTTATTAAGCTCATTTTGGTACTATATTTTATTCTGGCACAGAACATGTTAGAAATCTAGACCTAGACAAAAATGTGCGTGTTTACTGCAGATGCGAGTCGATGAGGTACTTCCTATATGCTATCAAAGATCATGATGCTATTCAATACTTTTCACTTACTTGGAGTCGTATTTACAACGCTAAATTCATACCACACTTATAACACGGGGCGAATTTCATTATTTATCACTTCCACATCGATGATAAGGCTGACACTAAACACAATTCAATTTTTCTTGCACGAATATAGCAAACAATAAACCTTCTCGAAAAATCTAGGGAGCATGTTTCTCAGAAAAAATGAGTCACATCCTCATTTATTCCGCATTGCCGGTGACTTATGGCGCCTCGTTAATGTTATGGAAAAATCGCTACAATCAGTTAACTTTATTTGGAATTTCATGTTTTTCAAAACTGGATAGGTATGTGTAAGGTAAGTGAGGTGCCAGTTATCATCAAGTACATCACAATCGATTAGGACTGTAACAAAAAAGATCGTTACCTGGCATTCATCCAGCAGTATATGATTGGATTGTACATCGAATTGCTCATTGCTAACCAATATATGGCTAGATATGTTTCTTGAATGTACGGCGAGTTTGTAATTTCTGGATAGTACGACGTTACAATGAAATATAGATGGAACGGCAGCCAGCACACTGCAAATATCACCACCACAACCATCATCATCTTCACCACCTGAAACAAATTGCATTCGTTAGTTATGAGTCTAGCTGGTTTCGATGGATAAGGACGGAAACAATAGCAACTTTATCATACCGCAGGGTTCAAACAAGTTATTATCTTTTTCAGCCACAAACCCAAAATAGCCTCAACCAACATTACAACTACGAAACATATGGCAGTAACAGAAAATAGACCACCATTATTTAGATATTTATTATGCCTCTCTTGTTCTGGGCCCTCAACAGGCTTGCGCCCAATTACAGAGTGATCCGCATAAAGGCTGATTCTCACTATACATAACGTTTCCATACCATATCCATTCCATAACCATTCCGTAAATTATTATAGGCTACGAAATTGACCTTTAAGTGATATGTGCGTAAGACATTCAGTCGCGCGCTAATACACATTCGCCTTCCATATGTGAACGGAAAGGAGAATGTGTATTAGCGCGCGGCTAAATGTCTTACGCACATATCACTTAAAGGTCAATTTCATAGGTATAATAATTTACGGAATGGTTATGGAAAGGATATGGTATGGAAACGTTATGTATAGTTAGAATCAACCTTAATGCTTTTCAGAGGGGTCCCTACAGAATGTCACTACACCGGTATTTACTTTACCAACTAGAACAACAGCTACAGGAAAACCTAGGCCAGGGTGAAACGAGCGTAAACAGACGTCGCGACCGGCGTTTCTACGTCCGTTTTAGAACATATAAAATCGTGCAGAGGGCCACACACGAAACCCGCCTAAATGTTGTGGCCCGTTCTAGGAGTCAACGGTCGTTCTCTTCTCACCGTCCGTTTGATATTTCATGCGTTGTAGCGCAACTGTCACACATCTGACATCGGCGATGAATTAGCCGCGCGTTTCTTAAAGACGCATGCGTTTACTTGATGACAACACGTTTTATTTCCTCTGTGCTACAAAAATAACCCCAACAATAAAAATCTACCGGATTTTGGATTTTTGTCAAAACATCTTGTAAAACAGCATAATTGGTTTAATGTGTTAAGTGATCTTTTTTTGGGAAGTCAATGACTGAGGCCGGAGCCGGAAATTAGGACGTCGCCGAAAGGGCGCGAGATATGAAGGCGCGGGGACAAAAAAGGCGCGGGACATAAGGACGCGCGTACATATAGGAACGCGAGGACATATGGGCGAGGGATAGAGAATTCTCTCAAAAAAATTGTAGTTAGTTTGTGTCAGTCATTAAACAGGATACAAGATACCAAAAACGTATATGTTGGGTCACAACCTTTTATATCACTTTTACTTCTATACTTCTATTTTTTTAGAGCTTTCTCCTAAATCGTTCGCTCGCTCGATTTTTTCACCTCGAACCATTTAAAGAGAACGTATGAACCGATTACGATGAAATTTTGTAGACTGATTTTTTATCCAATTCGTAGATCGGAGTTCGTAAATTGGCCATATCAGCAAAAAAAATCACATCTGCGTTAGTTATGCACCGAATTGCACTAATTTCAAGTATGCATAGCTGACACCGTGCGATAGGCAATGCCAAAATTTGGATTTGATAGATTCCAAATTCGCAATGCCTTTTTGACTTCTTGGACATTTATGAATCGATTTTAATGAAATTCCACCAGATCTCTCCGATGGTGGGTAAAATTGCAAACGCAAATAACAAATTCCGGGTGAACTTAGCGGCAGAACTGAGTAGGCTACTGTAGGTACCGACAAAGGAAAGTAGGAAGTGAACAGAGCATAGGAATTGGTTATCGAAAGGGAAATAGGAAGTCCTTGAGGAAATCTATTCGGTGGTGGAGCGAAAACCCCAAACGTGATTTGCGGATGAAAGGGTCATCGGAACTGGTTACCGAAAAAGGCAAACGGGAAATCCTTGAGTAGATTCGGTGGTGGAGCCAAAACTTCAAACGAAATTTTCGACTGAACGGAACGTCCGAAGCGGGTACCGACAAAGGCAAACTGGATTTGCGGTTGAATAGATTCAAAATTCACAATGCCCTTTTGGGCATATCAACAATTTATGAATTCAATTGCAGGAATTTGAAGCTGGGTATTTTTAAGGCACTTAAATTAAATTTTAAATTTCTATACAGGGTGCTACTTGACCGCATATAAAAAAAAATTGGGGTGATAGAGGGGATCAGGATAAGCACTTTTTCCAAATAAACCGAGGGTCGAGCGTTTTTCGTTTGGGAGCCACTCCCAAAGAAGTGGTGAAATTTGGATTTTTTCTTTTTTTCTCAGCAATCATAAGAGTTACAAAGATGGGTGACACGTCCTACTTGGGGGTGCGAAAAAATTCTGATTGAAATTTGTTATGTACATACATACTTGATGTGTTAAGGAACAAAATTGTTGAACAGCTTTTTAAAATAACTTTTCAAACAAAAGTAAAGGGTACCACTCACTAGAGCACTAAGGATCAGATATGCAACTTTTTTTATGCCGCCATTGGCATCAGCGACCCTAAATCATTCAGAAACGACCCCTAGAACCCAGAAATTCATCATTTTTTGCAGGTTAAAACCCTGGACACCCTTTTGAACAAAAGTGTTCAAATTTTGAACCCACACGAAAATTTTGATGGCTGCTGCGCGCCAAAAATTTTATTTGGACGTAATAAACACGTGTACCGAGTTTCATGCTTTTTTCACAAAATGCAGCGAAAAAATTTGTACCGACTACGCTATATCACAGATGTAAATCTGTGGCTATATGCCGCGCCCATTTGTTCTAGCGCCCTTATGTCCCGCGCCCCTTTGGGCTTTGCCCTAATGTCCGGCAATCACGCACATAAAACTGTGTCATTGCCCCACTGTATATGAAAATGTTTCAGAACAACAGAAATCATATTTGCTATAGAGGATTGAAAATTTTCCCTATAAGATAATAAAATATTTGAATATTTTGAGAGTATCCCCCAGGTGGTTTTTTTCCGTGTTGTAGTAAAGTGGAAGAAATTTTGGTTAGGTTAGATAGTACCTATACTCTGTTTTTTAACTAGGAAGACGGATTTAAAAACCTGATTTACACTGAAAATGTCACTAGAATCTAGTAACAAAAATAATAGACTCATTTTATAGAGATATGTATTGTGGGTTGCGTGATGTGATTTTCTTTCACATTTGGATAGATTTCATTATTTATGGTTTTGGGTTATTACTTGGTAGGAACTCCTTTATATTATGCATACATCATACATTTAAAAGCGAATTATAATAAATAGGTAATACATTGATAATAGGTAATCATCCTGCATACATTTTTTGACCTTTGAAACATTATTTTGAATTGTAGTTTTAAATGCTTTATCAGTTGTAATACTACACAATCCACATTACAATTTACAACAAATGGTAAGTTATTGAACAAATTCAGAACAATGGAATTATGCTCATATTATTAGACAGCACAGTTCACTGCTTTATGTATATAAGAGATTTAGTCACTGTCTTCCGAGAGTTCACTAGAACTGTCACTGTCCTTCGATCCGAGTGAAATAATTAAGGGTTCTATAAGTGTATCCATTAGGCCATCCAATCTACACATTTTATTTTCTTCCTTAATAACGTGTTGCACGCAATTCCGCCAATCGTCAGGGCTCACATTTGCAACAGCGTTATGACCACCGGAACGTTTCGAAGGGGTAACAATCCCAGTACTTCGATATTCTTTAATTATCCGGTATACTGTAGATCGTGCAACTCCTAATATGTGTCATACTTTAACAACCAAATATATACCTACATCATGATTTACGTTACCTGTGGTAGATGTAATCTTCAACACAAGGGTAGCAAACTTCATATCCGGAATATCAGACAACATTTGTTTATAATAAACTGCTTCTCGAAGACTGATAAAATGACCCAAGTTTAAGCGATTACGTTTTTTCAAAGGAGACAAGCTTGCTTTACTGGTACTTGGAGTTGAATCCATCACTAATACCAGTATACTTAGGACGCGAAATATCAACTTTAGTTCTTAAAAGAACTGTTTTTTTTTTGTTAAAATTTATGCAAATGGACTCAGAACACAGAAAAACTCAAAAATAAGTACAACAGTTACGGACGAGAATCGCGATTAAATTTGACAGTTAAATCATGTCAATAGCAATTTTACCTGGGTGTAAAACGGGCGCAGCGGGAGCCAATAGAAACTAAGGATTTTTGCGGGAACTTTTAAATCCGTCTTCCTAGTTAAAAAACAGAGTATATGTATTTAAGATATTACGTGGATTTCGAGAGGTTTCTATGCGCCACTATCCACGAAAAAGTAATACCTATACCACAGATATATTACGTATATCTGTGCCTATATACTCAATGTTCTCTCTACAATACGTACGAATAAGCAATTGATTTGATCGTATATTTTATATAATTACACCATTTTAATTAGACCTTTTAACGCAGTGATCCGTTTTCAATTACTGTCTGTGACATTCGCGCAGTTAAAGCATAAAAAGAGCAATTTAAACTTCCATTTTCTCTTTGTGGTGATACAATTAATGCTCTCAACTTTCCTCGATTTATAGTGTCTATAAGTTAACACCAGATTTTTAGAACAAAGATATCTTTAGGAACGTGAAGAGTTCATTCGATAACCCTATACTAAAACTCAATTATGCGTGTATAATGCGCTTTCGTTTTATTAACTGCGTCCTTATTCATGTATTAAATCTATCAGGCGTATATGAAAATCGTGCATAGGATTTAAACAAAGTTTACAATCGGTATAAGATTTCTAAAAAGTCCAGTCATTACGACTACTTATTATAAGGTGCTGAGAAATTTAGTTTCCAAATCTATTTGTTCTGAAAAAAAAGCTTATCTAAATTTTTCGCTGGCAAATCAAAATAGGGCGGGTTTATGGAAAGCTATTAATGATCTTGATATTTACAAGAAATGCAAAAGCGAACTCCCTCCACATTTCAACGATGTAGATGAACTTAATAAACATTTTGTTAGATCAGTTCCTGGAAACAGTTTTCTTACTAAATATACTTATTT